GCGTTGGAGTGCCTTCTGTTTTGTAGGTCTCCTGCTCAGCAAGATGAGATCATCTTCCATCTGAGTCGAAGCTCGCAAACTTGGTCATTTTTTTATCAAACAAAAATTGAGGTAAAACTACCTGACTCTATCCACAAACTACATCAAATAAAGCCTTTATAAGCTTAAAAGGAACATTAAACGAAGCCTCAGAATAGCCGAAGTCTTCGAATGAGGTCTGAGAGAAAATTCAGACCCCATTTTTCTTGATTTGAGTCGTTTATTTCTTTATTTGGATTCTTATATAATTATTTAGAGAATTCATATAAAACAAAATGGGCATATAATTTTTTTAGAGGATTTTACAAGAGAGTAAAAGAGACATATCTCAAAATTTTCCATAAATTTTGGGCTTAAACAACCTGCAAGGATTCATTCCATAAACTCTACCTAGAAAGAATATTGTATTGATAAACTTAAAAATCTTCTTTATTTTGATTCATGAATTTTCAAATTTATATTGGTCCCTAAATTTATAAATTTCTTTTTTAATCACTCAACTTCTAAATTATTATATTTTGGTCGTTAAACTTTGGACATGAATTATTTAGTCGTTAGTTTTTTTTTATTAATTATTTAATGTAAGTTTGAATCTAATTTCAAGCATGATAACTAATCTACCACATGTGGCTTCAAATGCCTTATCCATGTAGTCATTTTTATCATCAGGTAAACGAACAAAGTATATACCATGTTAGATTTCTTTTAGATAATTTTCAAAAAATAATGACAAAAATTGGCATGTCCAAAATTGGCCTATGCTTACCCCATTTACCCAAGCTTGGCCTTTCCCCATTCCTTGCATGTCCAACACTATCGGGTCAGCTCCTGAAGGGGTCTTAAAGCTAGTTTTGTACCATGTCATCCGCCTTCCAATAGATCTTTGACTTAATGCGCTCCATTTTGTTCTTTGGGTGTGAACATAGGGTTGTAAAGTTTCTTCATTCCTCCATTTAATCCAACCTTATAAGACCATAAATTTGATGACAAATCCGTTGTGACATTTTCGTCTCCAATTAGATAAATGGGACCTCCTTCAATTCCGGTTGACAATGTATCATAAAATGTGTCGTAGTTCTTCAGTCCAACAGTAGCACTCAAAAGGGTTATGACGTTGGTTCCCAATTTCAATAGAATGAGTTTCTCAAACACAAAACTTTGCCATCACTTCTCCATTGTGACCCGATGTACCTTCTATTTACGTAAACTTAGCATGAAGCACATGACCCTTTGTATTCACTTGCAATGATACATTTTGGAGGGAAGATGTTGCATGGGTCGCCACATTAGTCATATACCACAAGTAGTAGCTCACATCAATAGTGGTTCTTTTTTTGTTCCAAAAGAAGATTTGCCTTAAATGTACCCTTCCCTTGTAGAGTGTCTCTCAAGGGTTCTGGAGCCCAAGTCCACGAGAGTTGTGCATTTTCCTTCTCATTTTGCTCCTTAAATATAGACGTTTGAGAATTAACCTTTGCAGTGTTGTAAGCCTCATTGTTGCAACCATCAAGAATGCTCACAGACTAAGTTGACACATAATATTTTCCATCTACCTGCAAATCTAAGTTGACACATAATATTTTCCATCTACCTGCAAATCTATGGTGGCATCATTGCTGCGATCTATATTGCTCAAGAAGCAAAACCTTTCTCTCGTTGCTTGGTTAGAGAATTTTGTTAAAGTAACCGAGCTACTATATGTTTCGTCTGATCGGGTGGCATTAGTGAAAACTTTCTCTCCGAATTTGATCGATGCACGGAGTTGTTTGAAATGCCCCCATTTGGGTTTATTCAAGTTTCCATATTCGTCAAGTGGCGCATTGTAATCATAAGATGTAGTAATGAATGGACCTTCTGATGTTCTCCCAAAGTTGGTGCCTCCATGATACATGCAATAGTTGTTAAAACACGCCACCAAAATTGTGCCACAGAAAATGCTACATATTCTGCAGTTCTATAGGGGTCTTTATCACCCCATTTCTCGAACCATCCCACCCAAATTTCAGTAAACATTTTTGGGCTCTTAGGATTGTTAGGAGTAAAATTATCACAGTAGAATCCATTACATGTATTTGTCATCGGTTGTGGAGCATCACTCTATTGGCACATGATCCATGGAACGCCAATAGTGAGAGATTCGGTCATTTGAGCACACTAATTGATATATGTTTTTCCTGCATTTCCAATAAGGTACCATCACATTTCCATAATCATTCTCGATTTGAGCTAATATTACTGGTCCTCCTTGTGATGCAAAGAGGTTGGCTTGTTTACACATATTCACTATTTTTGTCGTAAAAGTTTGCATTTCATTCTTGTAGGCTTCATTGTCGGTTCGTAGTTTGATTCCCGGTATATTGTGCAACCACATTTGGAAGCCTCCATAGTTCCACTCGCACACACACTAAGGATCAATCCTCATAACAACATAAAGTCCAGCATCTCGGACAAGCTTGAAGAATTTGATAAAATCATGATTTCCATAAAAATCATAATTTTGTTGCTGAGGCTCATGACGATCCCAAAAACTGTTGTCTCGATTGCATCAAGTCCACCATCTTTAGCTTTTTGAATAAGATCGGCCACATGTGTACAGTAATGCATGGATAATGAATTGAACCTGAGAAAATAATGCGCCGTTCACCATTAAGCATTTGAATCGTAGGAGACATTCGCTTCCATACAAAAAGATAAGCAAGCCAAGGCTGCAATTAGAGGAAGTATAAGGCATTGAAGCTTAAACATCTTTGTATCTTCAAATTATATGTTTGGTTTATTAATTTGTGTATTTATATAGGAAAACTTTGATGATAAGATGGGCTTTATTTACAATCTATATTTGTATAGGTTGAGTTGATGGATTCTATACATAGAAAATATATGTTAATGAATTTTTACTGTTTAAATTTTATCCATATATGTTGGTTTTGCCAAATTTGGAGAAAAGTATTCAACCTTTATCTAGACAATAACTTATTACTCAACTTAAAAGATATAGCTAATTAATATTTAAAAAAAAGAGGAATTTGTTTAATTTTAAAAAACATCATTGTCAACTCCTCAAGATGTATTGATAATAACCACCAAGTTAGTATTTATATTTTATTCCTTAGATACTTATTCTCTATCTTTACTAAAAAAAATTTGGTGTCAAAATGAATCTAGATTAGTGGTAATTGAAATATAACTTCAAATCAAGAGAGTGTAAGTTCGACCTCCACCCCCGCAGGTTGTTAATAAAAGAAATAAAACTTTGTCATTTTTTTTTCTTTTTTTAGTACAATATGTGGAGGTGGAGATTCAAACTCATGACCTTCTGCTTATGCTTAGATCGGTACAAAGAATGTTTTCATTTAACTGTTTTCAACTCATGGTTCCATTTTGTTTGTGATAATCATATTTGTAGAAAGGATGTATGGTCCGAAAACAATTAAAGATCAAAAAGAAAAGATAAAATACCTGCAATTGCAAGATCAATTGGTTTCAATTTTCTTTTTATATAGTAGTTTTTTTAACATCCAACCTTTTTATCCAAATATATACTTTAACTAATTTAGTTATGCTTAAATTGACAAATATCTCATTAGGATTCTATTAATGGTTCGTTTTTTATTATCAATTATAATCCTTACTGAAGTTTCATTTTTCATGTACAGTTATATTCGACTACTGCTAACCAAACGACGATAAATGAAAGCAAACCAATGTAACAAATATGATTTACACTAAAGTATAAATTTTAAATTATCAAAATTGATAGCCAACATAAAAATAATTTAGTGGTTACATCATATTTTTTTTCTTGAGGTCAAAGGTTTAAATTTCCACTTCTACATTTATTATACTATTAAAAAAACCTATTACATTAGATATAAAAAAGTGGTCGACTTGGAGAACTTGATAGATTAGGTTATTCTCTCTCTTGGGTTTGTATCTTAATACAAATTCAATATATGTGGACAACTATATGGAAGGAAGATAACATGGATTTGTGTTGATCTCTCCATCTTTCCTTTCCATTTCTTTGTTTTTTTTTTTTTTTACAAACTTGGTATCAATTTTTTTTTCTTTTCTTTTGTGTGGGGAAAAAGAAAATTTTGGTTGTTTTGTTTGATTTTAATGTACTTGAATCAAATGTTTTTCTTGAAAAAAAAAAAAAGAAACAAAGAGAGAAAGGCATGTCTTGCATATTGGTCGGTGAGTGACATTGTCCTACCACTAAAAAGTTTTGTTAAAGTAAAAACAAAGTAAAGCCAACAAATATTATTTAATTTGGCTATCCTTATTATGTAAATTTGATCTTTAGTTTCCTCCCAATTCAATTATATTGAGGAGAAGCCACCAGGTGCTATGTGTAGATACCTCACGAAAGGTCATCGGACCCTTCTCCACCCGCAAAGTGGATAGAACAGAAGGACAATGTCGTGTTGATCAAAAAAGGGACATCGAGCGTATCGAAAAGGGAAGAGGAGTGCATGGTACAGAGGTACCAACAAACTCACTCGACAAGCGTCTGTCACAGTGTAAGGAGCGTATCTTAATGCTACTGCACCACTCTGCAATGGTAGGAAAATGACACAGAATGTCAGGAGAGGCCCCCATACCCTCGATGGGCTGTGAATCTGCTCCACTGGACTTGCCTGCTCTCCATATATATGGAGAATGACAACCCTAATCAAGGTAAGCCATCTTTTCCCTACACAACTCCTTGCGATGATTCGGTACACACTCTCAAAAAGACTCTCACTACTCTCAAGATTACTACCTCTTACTATTTTCTCTCTACACTTGTTTGCTTCCAAACTTGAGTTCTAACTTAAGGATCGGAGTGCATTCGACATAGTACCATACCGGTAGTGAGATTTTCACAATAAAATTTTGAAAACTTATCTTTTAATTAGACATCAAACACACATTCAACACATTATCATAGGCATCCCTATTAGATGTCTTATTTGATATTACAATGGGAATATTTCCCTAAACATCATAGAATTCCCATGTTATAAAAGAAATTGAAGTAAAACTTTTACGTAAGCCTTATTTGTGTCTTAGGAATACAATTTTTAAATAGACGAGATCCGAGTCTTATCAGTTTCAGATTCAAGTGCTTGCTCATCCATTTTCATTCCAAAGGCAACTGAGCAAGATGACTAATATCAAAAGGGTATGTGTCGTTTGGAGATTGGGCATTATACGCCCTACTTGCTAATGACTCCTGGCCAACCTCAGTTGGATGAACTCCATCCCAAAATATGTAGTTGGTCCTATTGGCACATACTCTTCCAAAAGGAGCACATTGTGATCCATAAGGGGGAACTTCACAACAAGGAGCATCAAAAATTATTCCACCTGCAAGTTTGTATTTTTAGTGAATAATTATTCATTGACCAAAAAAGTATTAGATACAAAGAAGCACATTCCAATCAACTAGTTTAAATGGATGAAAATCTCAATAGGGGAGAATTTGAGAATATCAAGGTTTTAAATGTTGATGTTGATGGAAGTTTCGATGTCTCAATTTCTTATATTTTTGGAAAGGTTATACAAATAAAAAGTTCATAAAAGTATTCAAACTAACAAATATTGATTTATTTAGAATTGTGTCTATATTAATGATATTTTCTTGATTTTTTTTTTCAATACTAGGAAAATGTCGATTTACCCGTTATGACCAATGTCGACCCCATACGAACACAAAAATGTAGATAGAAATGTTGAAATGTTGACCTAAATTAAATTCCATAGAAATACTACTACTTTTTTTACCCCCTTGAAGCACCTCAACTATTCTAAAATTTAGATCTTTGATGGAAATCAACTATGAGAAAGCAATAACATTAAGAAAATGGTCATCCAAAAATATTTTTTTCTAAGCTTTCTTTTCTCTTAAATCGATTTTTTTTAAACACACACCCCCAAAAAGACCTTTTTAGAAAACAAACCAAATAACATATGATCTTATTCATTTCATTCTTACATTAATCTCTTTCTACATAACATTTTTAATCGAGACCAAGTTGAAAATGTTCGTCAATAGTCCTCATCACTAAAAACGTGCAGCATAACTTAAACATACCAAAGAAACAAAAAGGGCATGAATGAAATTTTGAAAGATATAACATGTTACCTTGATTTGAAGTATCAATCATGGAAATTTTGTATGTATCAACAAAGATAAACTTGGCATCAGTAAGGTTATTATTGAGATCTTCAACTTGAGACTTGAGGCCAACATTGTAAAGTTGAACAGCATTGTTGATTTTGCCAACACATGGAGATCCTTGGGTGTTGAATCTTGCAATTGCATATGGAGTGCACCCTAGGAGACCACCTCCAAAAATGGCTATTTTTCTAGCTCCTTGCCCATATAGACTCTACAATGATATATTCTCCAATAATATCAAATGAAATTTTTGATAATTTTTAAATGCAATAAAAAAATATGTCAACCAAAACATAGCTCGGCAGGTTAAGGCACATGTATCAAACCACGAGATTGAGAGTTTAAATCATCTTCCCAACTCAGTGGGTTAAGACACATGTATCCAACAACGAGATTGAAAGTTTGAATCATCTTTCCACATGTTGTACTAAAAAAGAAAAATGCAACAAAATATATATATATATAAGATTTCAAATTAATTTGTCTATACTATTTTGGTCCATATAATAAGAGCTTGGCTTTATTTTGGTTGTTATTCTACTTTCAAAATTTTTTTCTGGTCCCTATACTACYTTCATCACCTTTGTTCATTTTTATCCTTGTATTTTAAAAAAAATGCTTATTTTTGTCCATATCCTTTTAAAAAGTGACTATTTTATGGTCCATTTATTTTCATTTTTATCTTATTTTCGATAATAATTTTAGCGTAACAGGCTACTCACTACATTTCTTGAAATGTAACCATAAAATTGTATTAAAGGGTTTCTGTGTTGCGTATAAAATATGTGTTAAAATTTTACAAATAGAAATCAAATTAGTCACTTTTTAAAAGTGCAATGACAAAAATGAACCAAACACAAAAATACATGGACCGAAATAGTATTTTAAACTTTTTTTTCGTAATAGTTCATAAACTAGCTTTTAAGTTTTAAGAGGAGAGACAATGTTATCAAAGGGCTAATATGATCATCAACCATGTACGCTTTTAACTGTATTAATTAATTWCTACGGACAAACAACATGAGCTTAGCTTAGCGGTAATTGACAYTTATCTCTAACTCTAMTTAAGGAAAMAAAATTCTATGGACAAGTTCTCATTTGACCAGTAATTAAATAACGACRAATCAAATATTTGTAGGGTATACCTTCAATTGGGAGGAGAGTTGTCTGTTCAAGGCAATGGCATACTCCTGTGGAGTAAATCGGATGCTAGTTGTACTGTAGGGAAATGGCAGAAAATAATTATTAAGGTAATCGTTGTTACCAATCACAACCATATATAAGCAACTTTTGAGATATGCTGAAGTTGCACTGTTGTTTCTCAATAAGCCATTAATCTGTGAAATTGTATAATCATGGTTCTTCAATTGTTGGTCCAAGCTTATTACTTTGCCCTGCAACCACAAAAAAAGGTAGTCTTTTAAAATCAATAAAAAAGAAAGGCAGACTATATTAAGTGATTGTTAGTATTAAATTATATAAATTAATTCTTTCACTAAAATGATATAGGCGGTTTATTTTAATGATTGATTATGATTAAACTTCAATACTAATAATATCAAATTGTTACTTTATAAATAGTTTATTTTCTTGTAAATGTAAACTATCATAATATTTGGTACGTATATACTCAATAAGTGGATGAATAAAACAAGTCACACATGTTGAGTTTTTCTTTTTTTTTTTCTTTCTTTTTAATACGCAACATGTGGAGGTCGAGATTTGAACACAATCATTTGGTTGGAAACACATCCTTCAACCAATTAAGTTAGGCTCAAGTTGACAAGTTTTTCTTAATTGATTTAAGGAAACTTAGCGTCAAGAACTAAAATATTTTTTATGCAAGTTTAGGGGCTAAAACAAGACATAATTTGTAAAACTATACCATAGTTTTCTTTCTTTCTTTCTTTCTTTTTTTTTGTTGAGACAGCATTATACCATGGTATTAAATATTCATCGACATTTCTATGTATCTATTGGTTCGACATCGACATGAGGAGCAAATCGACATTTCTATAATATAACAAAAAATCGACAAAATATGAAAAATATCAACGAAATCTCACTAATATAGACATTATATTAATATTAATTATTTTAAACTTATTTAGAAATGAAAAATGCTTATCTGTTAATTTCAATATTTTTACGAATTTTTTATTTTTATCATTTTTTCATAAATGTCTATCGACATCGACATTTTATCGATATTTCTTCGACAGTTCTATGAAATTGAGATCTTGACATTTCTTTCGACATCGACATTTAAAACCTTACACTATACACAACGGGAAGTAAGCAAAAACTCGTATATCGGTATTTGCAAGTTTTATTTTGAATTAATTACCTGTGCTCGTCCAGTTTCAAAGCGAATTCCAGCTGCTCCAGATGCATAATTTACACCTTGGAGAATGTTTGAACCTCTAATTGTATCCTTAAATGGTGGGATGTAATTCGGAAAATCCAAAAGTTCAGCTGGAAAATGAAATAGGTTTTCGTTAATCATCAATCATTTGTATATTAGAACAAAGTAGAATATAAATTACTATATAAATCAATGATTATAGTATGTTTTAGGATAAAATATTTAAAAAGTTAATATATAATTTAATCAGTGATTTTTATGATTATGGATAAGCAATATCTAAATTAGCCATTAGTGTATTTTAATTAATGCCTATGTTATAGCTAAAATTATAAAAATTATATCAATTACCATCATTTAAGTTAATAAAATTATTCATAAATTCTTAAAATATGCTCTGTGATATACGAATCGATTTGTGACATATATTACATGTACCAAAGGAGCAATTACAAGAAGCAAGGCAAGAAGATTCAAGAGGCTTTCACACCGCACCTTCAAAAACTTGTTAATGTACAAGAACCAACAAAGAGTTTTGAGCTCAAATTTGTTCATAATGTTACTTCAAAATAGTCAAGAAGATAATGGAGCAAAAGATGGCACGGGAAAAGTTGTCTATTTTGAGAGATGGCATGGAGAACAAAAAAAGTATGSAGAATTGTGAACAGGTGCCTTGGCAGATTGTACCCCTTAGGAGTTTGTGATGTCAAAGCTTGTCAAATCTCATTGAAGCGCCTCCTACATGTGATTTCCAAGACAATTTAAAGCAATTCTACGTTTTCTGGTCCGCATTTAGTCGTCTAGATTGATGTGCAATCAAGTTTTAATTTGCATGTCTTATTTTCTTCAATTTGCATTAAGTAGGATTTCGAAAGACTTTTGGTATTCCTTTGTTGAACGACCATTTGGCCTATTTAAAGGCTTGTAATCACCTTGTTTTGGAAGATTTAACATATTGAAACTCAAGAACTTTTGTTCCTTAACACATTTGGTGTTGCTTTTTTCAAATCTTTCTTTAGGTTTGATGTTAAACCGATTCATTGGATTAGTCTCGATCAAGCTAATTCTGGAGTGAGTCGTCTTAGGATCTAGGAGTGACCATCGTAGATTCTAAGTCCGATCTTAGAGTGATTCATCTTCTAACCTTACTCTTGGTTGGAATCATTCGATAAGTTAGTTGTTTTTGTGAGAGTAATTTGCAAGGATCCTAGAACGACCTCTAGCTTTATAAACTCGAGCAACCTTGGCACTTATCACTATGTTAGATTTTGAAGGACACTAAACATATTTAAATTAAAATTAAAATTAAAAAATTAAAAAAAAAAGAAGTTTTGAATTAATTAGAGACCCATTAGTATGATTTACTAAATAATTTGAAAGGGACTAATGCAAGCATAGGTCATCGATAATTGATATATATCTCCAATCAATAGATTGTAAGTTCCATCCTCCCTCACATGTTGTACTAAAAAAAATTTAAAAATGGCACGATTTTTCTTTCTTATTTTCCTCTTCCTAATATTCTCAAATTTACAAAAGAAAAAAAAAAGTTTACTAATTTAAAACTTATTTTTCTAAAATATTCTAGCTTTCGAACTTATTCAAAAAATAATTCTACAAAAGTTCTTCTGGCACAGAGCCAACTTAGTCCACTTCACGGCAAAAGGTGGTCTCTTAAAAAGACTATCTATCTACGTGACATTATATATCGTGATAATGCAGCCATATTATATTTAAACAAAACAATTTAAAAAAAAAAGGAAAACAAAAACTCCTATGTTGTCTCTTGTATAGACCACTTATACCTATTTTGAACAATATTTTTAGTTTGGTAGAGTGACTAATATAACTATATATCCAACATATAAGTCTTAGGTTTTTAATCCCCACCGTACATACATACCTACATACGTACGTAGTACGTACGTACAAACATACATATATATATACATATATACGTACGTACATACATACCTACATATATATATACATACATACGTGTTAATGCAAGGATATGCACAACAGTGTATTTCTGATTACAGCTCGAACTTGGTCTCCGGACCGATCTGAACGCTTGGGCGGACCTGCACAAAAAGGTGAGTACTCCGACGATCAAGTCAGTATAGGTCGGATTCCCAATTTAGTTCGAGATCCAAGAATCATCGTACCTGATCGTGGAGTGAGGTCCTCTACTTATGGGTGGTAGTCCCGCTAATCTCGCGGCGGTTACACCCGGTAATCTCGGGACCGTCGGTTACACCCGGTAATCTCGGGACCGACGGTTACACCCGATAATCACGCCGCTGACAGTAGCTCACATCGGCCCCCACCGAGCTTCCCGGTAGATCGGACCTTGGCCAGGTTCACCTCGGCCCTCATACTTAGCATCTGTCAACGCTAGTGGTGGTGATCTCGACGGTCCGAGCTGGGCATGACTCATGAGTCATCTTGGAGCACCAATAGGGGTCCTCCACGTGTCCAGGGTATTCTCTTCCCCAAACATTGGCCCCCTCTCTGTCTGGTCCGATCTCGACCTGGCA